TTATCAGATGCTTACTTTTTGAAAAGCAGTGGGCTAAGCAAGTTATTAAGACACTAGTGGCCTGGTGCACAGATTCATGCACATTGAAAGGAAACTAATTAGAAGGTGGCAGGTGAGGTGGGCCTGGGCGAGATGGGCCAGACATGCCCTGGAGCCAATCTCCTTGGGTCCCTCCCCGGCTGGCCACACCTGGCCGTGGTTCAAAGGGCGTCTATGGAGTGAGCGGGGTCCCTCTGGAAGGTAAGGTCCCTTGGCCGAAACCGGCTTTCTGACATCCCCCGAGGGATCCCAGAGTGTGAGAGGGCACTCTACAAAGTTGCTGTCGTACAGGGTGAGGAACACAAACACAAGTGTGCAGTAAACCAAATTTGGGGCCAACAGTACCCAAGTAACAACATAACCCACAGCCAAAGGTGAAATTGTGTGGCCCTGTGAGGAATCGGGCTCCCTCCTCTCTGGTTCTGGGGTGCATCACCCAAGAACCGCCGCTGCCAAGTCACCACAGCTCAGCAGCTCCTGCGTCTGCCCCTGGTAGTCAGTGAGCGTCATACCTACCAGCCAGTCGGCTGGTCGCTTAGCCTTTTATATATATAGTATAGATAATAACTATAATAAGTAATAATATAATATATACTATAGATAATAACTATATATCTATATATAGTATAGATAATAACTATAATAAGTAATAAGATAATAAATATACTTAAATAACTTATAATGAAACGATTTTTTTAAAAGCAAAAAATAACTATCAACAAAGCAGAAAAGGTAAACACCACTGGAGAGACATAATGAGCGCTCTGGAGACCCAGAGGGAAGAAGGGAGTCTGGCTGAAAGAAAGACTCAAAAGGGACACAGCCCACCCTGACTGATCTGGGCAGGACTTCAACAGCCAAGGATGAAGAGAGGAATCCAGGTGGAAAGTGCAGGAAAAGTGAGCAAAAATACATTTGGAGCAATATATGTTTGGGCTTAAGTATTTGTCATCATGTTTGAAAGGAGGCCAGAACAGAAGAGGAGAAACAGTGCTTGACAAAGACAAACAGGTGGCTGGGCCTGGGTGCAGCGAGCTAGGGGCCCTACTGAATGTGCTGTTTCTAAAAACACTCTGGGCTTGGCTGTCCATGACTTACTTTAGCCTGTGGAGGTCAGCGTGAGAGGCATACAGTCCTCGGTCAAAGCGTTCTCGTAAGATCGACCACTTTGTTGCACAATAATCCTGAAAGAAATTTTACCCAAAATAAATCATCAGAAAAGGTTTATTAAAAATTTGTTTCATTGCAGCATATTGCCTCATATGTGCTTTTTATTTTGAAATAAGTTTGTAAAATACACTAATTTTGAGATCTAAAAAAAAAAAAAAATTTTGTTTCATTGAAAAAAGCGTTTACCAAATTCTTATTCATAACAAGCATATCCTTCCAATTAGAACAGAAGCCTCACTTACATGTGTGTACCAAGGAGACAAGGCACACAGACATGCAGTGAATACTACTCATTAGCAGAATGCTTGTTCTTGGTCTTAAAATTCTGCCAAAGTTACTGTTAAAGAGACAGTCTCTCCCACGAAATTCTGGGAAGACAAAAATGATTACAAAGGACTGTGTCTTTCAGAGAAGGGAAAGAAATGCCACCTTTCCCTGAAGCTATCTGTAATCATATTAATAGCTTACATGTATTGAGCACCGTGTAAGTACCTTTTCTGGATGTAAATCTTAAAATGACTCCTCAACGTGGCTACTATTCTAATCTCTATTTGAAGGATGAAGAAACTGAGGCTCAGAGAAGCTGAGCAACTTGCAGCAGGGCACACGGAGAACAGCACTCAGCCTGGAGGGAGAGGGTAAGGACAGGCATCTCAGGCACAGGAACCACCGTGACGAAGATGAAACGGGAAGCAGCACTCGTGAGGGAAACCAACAGCTGTCTGCTGCGATCACAGTATAAAGAGCTAGGTGGGGCCGAAACCGGTTTGGCTCAGTGGATAGAGCGTCGGCCTGTGGACTGGAAGGTCCCAGGTTCGATTCCGGTCAAGGGCATGTACCTGGGTTGCGGGCACATCCCCAGTGGGAGATGTGCAGGGGGCAGCTGGTCGATGTTTCTCTCTCATCGATGTTTCCGGCTCTCTATCTCTCTCCCTTCCTCTCTGTGAAAAATCAGTGAAATATATTAAAAAAAAAAAAAAAAAGAGCTAGGTGGGGAGGTGACGCTACAGGGTGGGGATGACATGCTAAGGGATCTGAAATGTATCCTGGAAGGAAAAGGACGTGCTGCAGGTCTTAACGGGGCAGGTGACAGCACGGCGCTTTAACAGAACACTGGGAGTGGCTGGAAGATGAATGATGAAGACGAGATGCAAGAAGACCAACGAGGAGGCTCCCGCAATAGGGCAGTGACAGAGGCCGGGACGAGGACAACAGTAGGACAGAAGGCAGGGAGGCCTCTGAGAAATATCTAACAGCAAGTCACAGGGGTGTCCAGCGAGGGATGAACAAGTGACGGGGAGTCTATAACTCCTGGGTTTGCTGGGAGGGGACTGGATGGTTAGTGATGCCATTAACTGAGACCATAACAGGGACAGAGTGGGGAGAAAATGGTGGATGTATTTGGAGTCGTGACATCTAGCAGACACGGGGTGGGGGTCAGAACTGCGGCGAGGCAGCAGCAAATCATGAGCTTGGATGACACCATCCAAGAACTTGAGGGTCAGAAGGCCAAGCGTGCAAGTCTAGGGTCACCAAGGTTTAAGGGGTTGTGAAGGGGGAACCCATGAAAGAGCCTAAGAAAGTGTCAGAAAGGCAGGGAGAACAAGAGAACAGAAGCAGGAAGGCTGCATGGAATACTGTCAGATGATAACTCCACTATGCACACTCGTGTGAAGGGCTGTCATCTGGGAGCCACTGAGAGCAGACTAGTTCATGGAGTGGGGGCAGAAGTGAGTTTCTTGCTCCTGCTGTGACTGTTTCTCTCACCCAATTCCCAATGACATCCTCCACCTTTCCCTTCTCTCGACCTGGGCCTGGGCCTGGGCCTCCGATCGTAAAGGGAGGACGTGACCTGCCACTGCCTACACCCGTCTCCCAAAGCACATGGGAAATGCTTTCCTTGAAGGTTACCTTGGCAGCTTTAGTAAACGCAGCCGCATTGTAGTCTCCTCCCATTCGTAACACGTCCTCAGTGCAATAGTAGAATTCAGAAAAGCCGTAGAACTCGCTGTTCCGGAAGTGGATGGGGGGCTGGTAGACACCATTGAGGGAAGTCTGTGTCTCGTTCGTTTTGTTCATGAAAGGCTGGAGAGTCTCTCGGCACAGGTCGAAGTCTCCCGTTCCCCGCAGGTACATGGTCTGCCCATTTTGCTGGATTTCATCTTTAATGTCTAGGGGTAAGCAGGGGTCCAGGTATGGAGTGTCAGGAGCTAGACCAGTCTGCTTCCCCAGGAGCCTACAGGACAAAGAGAAACTCTGTCATGAGACCAACAGGAAACTGTGCCCGAAGAAGTGGCTCGGAGCCAGTGCCTCTCAAAATGTGTTCGGTGGAACACAGAGGGTTCTAGGATAATTAGGTGAGGGGAAGACACACCTGAGCCCCAGTTGGAGATTATGAGACACGCTTCCATACGGCAGACACCGTCACAGAGTCAGGTGAAACAACTACCTGGTCATGTGACCCAATGCCTTCCATTCCTTGCACACAGCCTGGAGTCCCCACCCCTGAGTGCTCATGGTTCCTAAGCTCTGCCCACAGCTCCATTTTTGCCACTAGCACTTGCGATTTTTTATTATATAAAGATGAAATATGGCTGAAAAAAAGGTAGCAAGTGAAAATGTATCCTGTGAAAACTAGGTTAGCCCTAACCGCTTGGCTCAGTGGATAGAGCGTTGACCTGTGGACTGAAAGGTCCCAGGTTCGAGTCCGGTCAAGGGCATGTACCTTGGTTGCGGGCACATCCCCAGTAGGGGGTGTGCAGGAGGCAGCTGATCGATGTTTCTCTCTCATCGATGTTTCTAACTCTCTATCCCTCCCCCTTCCTCTCCGTAAAAAATTAATTTTATATATATATATAAACAAAAAACAAAAAAACTAGGTTAGATGTCTTAGAAAAATATGATAAAGGCAAGTTGCCAGAAAACTGCTATCAAATTAGGTGTTAGCAAGACTTAAGAATAATTTAGAAAAAGGAGTAAAAATCTAGACAGATTTGGTATCAAATTCTTCAAAAATGTCTTTAAGTTCCTGTTATTCTTTAAAGAAAGTTAAAATGATATCGAGCTGAATGGGGGTAGTGCACACCTGAGAAATGACGGATGTTGCCTTAAAACAACACTTCAGTCCAGAGCAAAAGACTGGCAAATAAACACGTACGCTAAAACAAAATGCTTGAGATTTGATTCTATTTTTATAATTCTCTGTTTTAACTGATTTTTAAAAAATTAATCAACTACTGACCTAACCTGTTGCATGTAACAGCATTTCTATTGTATTATAGGCTCTGAGAAGCTCCACAGAAAAATCTTAACTTTGCTCACCGAACTCCACTATGCTTACTAACTTGCCAGTGAAAAATTCCCAGGCATCAAGATCTGTCCTCCTGCTATGTGTAATCACTGTTAGGCATCTGAGAAACAGGGACAAGCTTCCAACACTGGAGTTATGTTAGTGTCTGATACCATGAAATCACAGGGACCTACAGGGTTTTAGCTACTAGGAGAGTGCCTGATTCAATATTCAGTCACTGACAGTAATCAAGTGACTAACCACTCAACTGACAAGTTGTTTATTCCCAAGATCAGGAGAACTCAAAATGCACTTGAATGTAATAAATTAAGGTCTTTGCTACATCTTAAAAATGTTTAATTAAAAAATCGATCACTACTAATGGCAAGGAGATAAATATACATTTCAAGGCTCAAATTCATAACATATATAAAAAGTGTTTCTACCATTTATAATAATTGTAAAAGTCCAAGACTAGTCAAATGTATACTTCATGCTACCGTTTTAGTTGCTTGCCCTTCATCTAAATTAAGAAGTACCACTCAATTGTCCATTATACAAGTTTGTTGACATTAAACCAATAGTAAACATTAGGGTTGCAGAAGAAGGCATTTTTCCAAAATTCTGATTCAAATATCACTTATGATTTCTATTTTAAGACATTTGTAAAAAATAATTATACTAAGATGTGCTATATAGAATATTACCTTAAAAAAGAAACCACGGGACTACCAATCTCTTAACAACACTATTATTCAATTAACATCTGGAGCAAAGAACAAGTTTTCTTGTCCTTTTCTAGTCACAAATGTGAATTTCTGAAAAATTTGGTATCAAATGGCTCTGACTTCTTGGTCTTCCTTAAAGTTTGGGCCTCCACAGGTTTAAGATTAAACTGATCAAGGAAATATACTATCATTTATCTCTATGAATAAGAATTTCCCCCTCAAAATTGTTTCATCAAAATGAAGAAAACAAAATAGTAATTAATAGGATAGTTTACTTGACTCCCCATTTCAGATATTTTTATCCATCCAAATGGCTTTTCTGTTCTATGGATTAATTTCAAATAAATAATTGTTATATAGTTAAACTTTTAAAATAAATTTAAACTGATAGAGTGTTGCTTTTATTTGTTTTACATATTTTCTATACCAGAATTCTTCAAAAACTCGTTTTAAAAAGTTTCACTGATGTGTTTAAAACCACTAACTCTGACTTCTAGATCATTTCTTTCTCTTGCATAACCTCCTTCACTATAGTCTTATCCACTAAATAACTGCACAGGCTGGTTTTCCAGAACATCACATAATTCAATTTTATCACCAGTGACAACTCTATCACACTTCCTGCAGGCTCCAGGACATCTGCTGTGGGGCTGGTGTTGAGTTTCCCAAGGGCCTGCAATCTAGAATGCATTACCCAGGGCTCAAAACTACTAATATGCTAAGAGTGAAACTGGATTTGAACATGCCTGCTGAGCAATGAAAGGTGCTTGCTTTACCTGTTCTTTTGGAACGTGTTGGCAAATATCTTGTCTTCATATCTCTGTCGAGCAGCATTGCCACCAAACCCAAGAAATGTGGCCACATAGACTCGGTACACATGCTCAGTCTGGTGAACATCACATCCCAGGTTAAATTCAGCCAGCAGGTTCTTAGCTACTTCTTCCTGACGACGTAAAGATAACAAATGTTAATACTTTAAGCAATACAAAAACAATCACCTTCTTTAAAAAGAAGGATCTAAAAAATTCTCATTTAAGTGGAGCAAAAATTTCTGCTTCTGTATTTCCTTTTAAGCGCCCCTCCTAATTCAATATGATAATTCTGACTTAAGAGATTTCAGATGCAATGCCCATTTGTGGAATTATTACAACTTTTTGAAAAAGTAAGTTAGTAATATAGTTCATTTCTGCTAACGTAGTAAATTTAAGGAATCCTATGCTTTGGAAGTAATCCTAAACATTGAAAAGTCTCTGTACACAAATGTCCTTTGCAATTCCGGGACAGAAAAAGCGGGATGTCATCTACATGCACGACTCCTAGGAGGGTTTATAATTTATGCTAATCAAGTTCATGGAGGAAGATGCTTATGCGCTATTAAGAAAAGGGCACAAAACTGCATAAACAGTAAGATTATAACCATGTTTTCAAAAATAGGGAAAAAAGAATGAAAAGAAGTAAAGCCAAAATGATAACAATTTCTTCATATGATTCATCCATAGGACATTTTTAATACTGATTTGTATTTTTCCAAGCTTGCTTTATATATTTTTTTACTTTATTCTGAAGGGAATGACATGACTTTTTATCGAGTGTAAGTTTCCAGAAGCATGTCTAGATAGGAAGTAGGAAACACTGATTGTAATACTTGAATTTACAAAGCACTCTTCTAAGGAGTTTAGTAAATATATCATTTATTGGGCGAATACCAGGTGCCCAGCAATGTGTTAGATAATATGCACTATGTCATTTAAACCCGATGATAACTCTATGTTAGAGGCACTTGCATTCATATTCATAGGTGGAAACCAACTCAGAGAAGTTAAGTTACTTGCATAAGGTCACACAACTAGTGAGGACAGGATGACGATGCAGCCTAGGTTTCTTGTCCAGCACCAGTCTTTTTTAACTGACACTACGCTGGGTGAAAGTGGAGGGGACCCGGCTTTGTTATTAATTTACAGCAGAATGGAAACAGGGTGATAAAGACAGGTAGCAACTCAGGAATGTATCTGGAAACCCTTCTGCTGCTCTCCACACAAGGCCACCGGCCCTTGGAACACGGCAGTGACAGAGCACTGAAGGGATGGAGAAAAGACAGTAAACCACAGTTTAGGAACATAGAAGCAGTGAATACAAACCTCAGTCCTTTCTGGAAAAGTCGAAAGCTATCTGCACTGTTAAAAAAAAAGTATTTTCCCTAATTATATCAAGAAATCTGATGCTATTTTAAGCTTTTCTAATCCCTGATGAGAAAAGAACTGAAAATAATATACAAAATTCAAGCATGTGATTGGCATGTATATCAAAGAAAAACTCCATGTAAGTTCAGAAAACAAACCAGCTGACTTCAATGACCAAACACAAACGGCTTAGGGGAGGTTTGCCTTGGCTTCCTCCTGTCTCCTTTCTCCTGGGTTGAGCAGAGGTACCTCAGCAAGCACAGTAAAGGCGTGTTCAGACTCAGAAAACAAAACAAAAATGGATGGAGACATGTTAAATGAAACCAAATCAAAAAGAAGGAAATTTGTACAGATAATAACCTGCTGTGAGGAGGCAAAGCTTACAGTTTTGGGGACTTCGTACGCTATCTGAGTTGACACGCCTCCCATGTCGAGAATACCGGCAGTTCTTTTCCGGAGAATGGCTTCGCTGCTCTCACTTCCAGGAATGTTAACCTCCACGACTGCCTCATCATCTGGAAGCATGAGAAACACGCATGGAACAGAGCAGAGCCAGAGAACTGGGATCTTCACAGAGGCACCTTGTTTTCACGGCATGTTTCAAATATTTCTAGGCAAACCCAGCCCCCTCTTCCCAACTAAAATCAAGCTGTGCGAAACAGCAACTCCTCTCATTCCACCTACACACACTTAACTGTGTCACAAAACTTAGCTCTTTTTATCCTTTCACTACATAGAAAAAGCCACAATTTCCAGTTACACACATTAGTTGAAAACATGATACTTACCATCTTCAATATGCTCAAATCGTCCGAGGACAAAATTAATGCCAATCCAAGCATACACACCTGTAGACATTGCACAGGGGAAAGATAAGAATAGTTTTTAAATACTTCGTATAACTCTGGTAAATGCTGTCTGTGCAAACATCTCATTTATTTTACTCCCTGACAACCTGTGAAAACATCATCTGAAATAACACATTCCTACTATGTATTTTATCTTTTCCTAGTGGCTTTACAAGAAATCCCTGCTTTAAAATTTATAGTTTCATATCCTTTACATAGGTTGAAAATATAACTCCCTGCAGTAGTGGTTCTCAACCACTTTAAATACAGTTCCTCATGTTGTGGCCCAACCATAAAATTATTTTCGTTGCTACTTCATTACTGTAATGTTGCTACTGTTATGAATTGTAATGTAAATATCTGATATGCAGGATGGTCTTAGGCGACCCCTGTGAAAGGGACATTTGACTGCCAAAGGGGTCGTGACCCACAGGTTGAGAACCACTGCCCTAGAGGCTAAGTTTCCTTAGAAATTTATAGGTTGTTTTCAAATATTGGAGTTTTTATTTTTTATGAAGTTAAACCTATCAGTTGCAAGGTTTACAAACAAGTTAACTTTGACTCTTCCGTTTCCTTTATCCCTTACTTTCACTCATTTGCAACACCTGATTCTCTTCTTACACCATTTCCTATATCCAATATCTTTACCCATTTTCATTACCATCTTAAGCTGTTACAGAGATCCAATCTTCCTACCCCTATTCCTCTCCAACCCACTCTATTCTCTTCTACTGAACTGATCTACAGAACAAAGTCCACATTTCACAGCTGGACACTTCAAGACCTGTCCAATATTTTTAATTGAATAAATTGGACATGTAACATTCTGTAAGTATGATGTACAGTGTGTTACTTTGATACATTTTTATACTGTGATATATTGCCCTAACAGTGAAATTTATATTGCATAATCATGGTATAATTTTATTATCTTCATTATGCAGTTGAATTTAAACCTGGTATTAAGTTGACCTGCGCAATTCAAACCCTCAATGTTAAAGGATCAACTGTACTGTGCATTAGATCTCTATGGCTCATTTACTAAACACCAACAATCTTACCCTCAACCACCATCCTCTGGTAACAACCATTTTGCTCTTTTACAGGTTTGACTTTTTCAGATTCCAAAAATAAGTAATATTATACAGCACTTGTCTTCCCCTGTCTGACTTATCTAGCTTGATATAATGTGCTCAAGGTCCATCCATGTTGTTGCAAATGACAGGATATCCTCATGGCAGAATATTTTTTATCCATTGATTGTTGATGGGCATTTGGGTTGTTTGTATCTTGGCTATCGTGAACAATGCTGTGATAAACATAAGAGTGCATATATCTTGTCAAAGTCCTTTTTCATTTCTTTTGGGAATAAAGTATCTATAAGTGGAATTGCTGGACTGTACGGTAGACCCATGGTTAATTTTTTGAGGAACCTCCATATTGTTTTCCACACGGATTAGAACAATCTACATTCCCACTAACAATGTACAGTATAAGGGGTTCCTTTTCAACACGTCCTCACCAACACTTGTTCTCTCATCTTGTTGACAGCCATTCCACAATGGGTGTGAGGTGGTATCTCATTGTGGGTTTTTTAAATTTTTATTTTTTCCATCTCCATTTTCATTGTGCTTGTAATTTGCATTTCCCTGATGACATTGAGCATCTTTTTATGCTCCTGTTGGCCACTTTGATGTCATCTTTGAAAATGTGTTTCACTCTTCTGACCATTTTTCAACTGTATTGTGTTTGTTGTTGTTGTTAAGTTGTATGAGTTCATTGTATATTCTGGATATTAACCTTTATCTAATATACTGCTTGCAAAAATTTATTTCCATTCTGTGGGTTTTCATTCTAATTGTTTCTTTTGCTGTGAAGAAAATTTGAGTTTGATGTAGTCCCATCTGTTGAGTTTTGCTTTTTATGTTTGTGCTTTTAGTGTCATGTCCAAAAAATCATTGCCATCATGAATATTGATGAGCTTCTTCCCTAAGTTTTCCTCTAGACATTTTATGGTATTAGGTCTTACATTTAAGTCTTTGATCCATTTTGAGTTAAATTTTGTGAGTGGTATAGACAGGGGTACAACTTCACTTTTCTGCATGTGTTTCTCCAGTTTTCCCAGCACCACTTGTTAAAGAGACTATCCTCCCTGCACTGGGTGTCATTTCCCTATTAGCTGACTGTCTAAAGCAGGGATTTACTTTTGGGCTGTTTCCCTGGTTGATGTGTCTATTGTGACTGTACCATATTGTTTTTATTACTATGGCTTTGTAGTAGTTTGAAATACAGAAGTGTAATACCTCCAGCTCTGTTCTTTTATTCTCAGGATTGCCTTAACTATTCAGGGTCTTTTATAGTTCCATACACATTTAAGAACTGTCTTATTTCTGTGAAGAATAATGCCTTTGGTATTTTCATGTTCATGGGGACTATGCTGAATCTGTAGATGGCTCAGGGTAGTATGGACATTTTAAAAATATAAATTATTCTGATCCACAAACAAACACATACTGTTTTTCCATTTGTTTGTCTTTTTTTATTTCTTTCAGCAAAGTCTTATAGTTTTCATTGTACAGGTATTTCACTTTCTTGGTTAAATTTATTCCTGAGTATTTTTGCTTTTGATGCTATTATTTCTTTTTTCAGATGCTTCATCATTAAAGGAATACAACTGATTTCTGTGTATTGTGTATCTTGCCACTTTACAGAAAATGTTGACTCAATGACTAGTCAATTTCTTGAATGATTCTCTGGAATTTTCTATATATATCATCAGCAAATAGTGACAATTATACCTTTTCCTTTATAATTTGGATGCTTTTTATTTCTTTGTCTTACCTAATTGCTCTGGCTAGGCTTCCAGTACTATCTATAATAATAAAATATGCTAATATGCTAATTAGACCAGACAGCTATATGACCTGGACAACCTTCTGGACAAGGGCAGCTGCCTCAGCTGCAAGGGCTGAGCCCCTTGCACAAATTTCATCCATCGGGCCTCTAGTATTGTATAAGAGTGATAAGAGCGGGCATCCTTACCTTGTTCTTGAGGAAATACATTAATTTTTCCCCATTGACTACAATGCCAGCTATGGGTTTGTCATATATGGCCTTTATTATGTTGAGGTATAACCAATCTATTCCCACTTTGCTGAGAATTTTGACATAAATAGGTACTGGGTCCTGTTAAATGCTTTTTCTGTATCTATTGTTATTGTTATGACC